CGTGATCCCTTCAGCCTCATTCCCCGAAGCTGTCCCTTCGGTTGAGTTTCCTTCCCTGTGCGTCCTTCGCAGGTTCTTAAGGCTGTGTCCAACATATTTACGGATAATACTATAGCGAGAGGCCCCGGAAGCCCTCGAGGTAGATAATACGGCGCGCCTTTTCTTAGTAGCTAGATTACTCGTCGACCGTACTAATTTACGATATATACGAGCCGAAGAAGATATCGAAGTTTTCGTGGCCCGTAAACTTTATTCTCTCGGCGATCGAATAGCCGTTGTCTACGTCGAGAATTAGCCCTTTTAGAACCGGCGGCCTCGTTAAGTAGAAACCTATCGTCGGCCTTAACTAGGACCTTTCTTCTAAAATCGTAAACCCGGATATTTTCTTTATACCCAGCTTAATGGCCTAAGTTAACTAGCCTAGTGCTAAAGAAAACTATAGATTAAATCTTTCCCGTCGAGCCCTTAGGGAACATAGTTCGGAAAAAGGGTACCTAGTGTAGTTCTTTCCGAATTCGAAGATAATATAAGGACTCATCGACCGGGGGCGGAATCGCCTCGATTTTCTCGAAGATACGGTAATCTTAGAAGACGCTATCGACGAGGGCGAGGACTAGTAGAGATAGAACTAAGTTCGCGTATAGCGGCTATATATCCTCGTATATACTATACTATGATCTAGTAAAAGCTTAGTGTTAGTAGAATACCCGTTGAAAACGGAGAAGAGAAGATTTTCGGTCGATTAATCTTTTATGTGGCTTATTAGTGAAGCCTTTCGCGTCGCGCGTAGTCCGCACGGTGAGTTCCGCCTCTCCTCTCTCATTCTTAAAGACGACGAAGACGATATCCTCCGTTCGAATTATTAGTATAGACTCTATTTTCGTTTTAATTACATAGTATTCTTATCTTATATAGTAACTCTCGTCCGGAGCCGCGGCGCATACTAGATTCGAAGATCTCTTCTACTCTCGACGGCGTATAAACGAAGAGAGTATAGATGGCGTAATTCTAAACTAGGCTTCTCGGATGAATATACTAGTACTAATTCTTTTACTACTTATATTTAATTAGAACGATAAAATAGAGCATCGTCATAAAATGCGGCTACCGTCGTTCGATAAAGAGATTATATCTCTTCTTTAACACCGTTTTAATGTACTAAGACGAACTCTTAGCTTCGCCGTCGACGGAAGTAAAGTGAGATAGAAGAGAGAGGGTACGAATATAGTACACTAACTTCGATACCTCGTGAAGAATCTTTCGATTACTAGGTCGTCGCTTCTAAGCGGCGCTAAAATCGGTTCACTTTTACTTTATATAGTATAGACTTAGATTAGCCTTACTTCCCTTAACGATACCCTTTATAAAATACTTCGTAGATCGTAAATTATAGAGACTTACGCTAGAATTTCGTCTTATATATCTAAACGCTAAAGTTTATCGTTATTAGTAAAGCTTAGAACGATCCTTAAGCGGGCTAAGAACTTACTCGTTCTAGAGAACGGTTCTTCGGTTATAGTTTAGCTTAGTTCTAGATTCAATAGATTTACTAACCGAATCGCCATTTACATCGGCGTTCGTAATCGGCTCCCAGCCATTCTTCTCCGCTTCGTTAAAGATATCCGCCGCGGTTTTCTTTCTCTTCGATATTAGAAAATAGCGAGTAGGGTAGTGAGAGCCGAGGTATAGCGGGAACTTAAGAAAAGACGAGCGCTTAGACTAAAGAAAAAGAAGATAACTAGAGAGAGAGAGTTAAAGTACAACGAAACGCGAGGAAGGTACGTTTAGATAGTTAGAAGACTAGATAAAAGGAGTGATTTATACGAGACGTTTAGTAAAGGGAGAGTAGGGAAGAGTATAAGAATCGAGAAAGAGAAAAAGAGAAAAGAGAAAGGAAGAGAAAGATAGTGAAAGGAAAAGAGGAAGAGAAGTATTAATACTATAGAACCGGGGGATTTAGTTAATCTCGTCTAGTAACGTCGTAGGGTAGGTTCTTAGAGGGATCTTATCTTTCATTATAGCCGAAACGGACCACCATCGATATAATTAGATAAAGTTATTACAACGCTCAATATACGCGACGTGGGCGTCTATGGAGACTGAAGCCCGAACGAAAGCCTCACCGGCACGCGAGGGAGTACGGTAGGAGCGGGCCAGAGCCGTGAGGGAGTAGGAGGGAGCGGAAGGGGAGCGTAACAGAGAGGAAGGGAGGAGAAGGGAGCAGACGAGGGAGCGAATCGACTAAATAGTCGTTAGCGGGAGAGCAAAGCGGCGGGGGATGAGTCAGCGAAAAGGTCGTGGGCGTCGACTGTTCGGGGACATTATATATATATTATGTACGTGCTCCGTGCCTTTGTGTTCCGCACTCCACTGGTTTTGGTACCGAAAATCGGGAATATTGTAGTATGCTCGCTGATGTGAAAAAGTAAATAAATCGTTTGTGCCGTTCGATTTAATCTGGTTCAAGCTGATTCGATTCAGTTTGGGCGCGTTTGGTTGGGTTTGGCCTGGATCGGCTCATTTTCTTTTTGATTCAATTTCTGATTTAGGTGGCATGGACATGGACATGGACTCGACTCAGTTCTTCAGTTGTGCAACATCGATCCCCATCTGGTCCAACAGATTGCGGTACGCAGGGAACACCTCCGGGCCCCGGGCCGTCAGCGCCTGCCGCCAATCCAGGCCTGGCTCAGCCTTGTCCATCGCCCTCCGGTACCCCTCCCGCGCAGTAATGCGCTGCAAGTACGCCAGGATGGCCGGATACGCCGAGAGATCAGTGGGATGCCACTGGCGGCCCGTGGTGAGGGACCAGACGGTCATGACGTCCGCAAGCGTGAACAGCTCACCCGCCAGATATGTACCGGTGTGCGCGAGCCGCGCGTCCACGGCGGCGAGGTGCTTGTGAAGTCCCGCGCCTATGGCCTTTGCGAAGGCGTTGTCGGCCGCCGGTTGGAGTAGCGCGGCGTTCATCTTGCGGAAGAACGCCGACCCCAGGCTCGCGTTGGCGAAGTGGAACCAGAACACGTAGTCCGGGTAGTTCTCGTGCGTGGGCGCGAGCGAGAGTCGATTGTGTCCGAATATGCTGTTGATGTACTCGGCGATGGCGCCGGACTCGGACATATTGAACTCGACGCCTGTCACGGCGTTGGCGGTCGTGATCACCGGCGCGGACCGCTGCGGCGTCAAAGCAGCTAGGTCCGCCGGCGCGAAGATCGGGCTGCGCGTGTACGTCTTCAAAGCGTAGTGAATCCCTAGTTCCTCGCAGAGCCAGACGATTCGCTCAGACTGCGAGATGTGAAGGTGGTGAACTGTTAATGAAGACATGGTCTTGTTGTAGACTAGAGACTGGAGACTATGGGAGGTAGGATATGGAGGTGGAGTCCTAGGTAGGTTTAATACTGGTAGATCAAGAGGTAAGTTTGTAGGTAAGTAGGCAGAAGGAGAGACCTTATATACTCCGTACAGAGGAGGAGCAAGACCGTGCGGAGTGTTCCGTAGCTAGAAACTCCTTTGTTTTACCCCGTGTTCGTGGTCGGACAGTCAATACCTCGAGTACGAGCGGAGTAGATTTAGAGTTTTGATTTTCGAGATCCGTCCTTGAGGCCACCAGGCTGAGGTACTTACTTGTGGCTTCTGGCTTGTTGAGTCACAAACTTGCCTCACTGGGGGCCTTGACTTTCCCAGGCAGACGTGACGTCTCGTGTGCATCCTTTCTATTCGGCAGATCGACTTACCACCATCGGGGATAAGAAAACTCTCCTGCATCTCCCTCAAACCTCGATATCATCCCACAAGCTTCGGGCTAAATTGGAAACCCGTTCATGCTAGAGCAAATCGTTGGCGCATTCGCCAGGTGGTTTTGATCATTGAAGGCATCTATTGTCGGAGGAAGGAGATGTCTCCGGATTCGGTGAAACTGTTTAAACCAAGATAATAACTGAGACAAATAGGTAGAGCATGCTTCTTGGCCTTCACCATAGTAGTAGGAATTGTAGATGAAATACTAGAAGGACGGCCTCTTGCGGATCGAGGATCGCTAGACATATTAATGTAAAATCTCTTGAATGTCACTAGCATCACGCTTCACAAGTGCTACCAAAATCATTACTCTTCCCTGTTTATACATACACACCGCATCACAATTAAGAATCAAATCTTTCGAGTCGTCTTTGGGTAGGTTTTCGTCAGCCCTTCAGCATCGGATGCACTTTCCGACCCGGAGGTACTGAACATTTTCACGCCAAATTGACAATACCCTGTTTCGCGTCGCCGGCACTTGTCCGACCATTGTACCCACACTGTCGTGCCGCTCTAGGGATTCCTTTCCCAGCCCAGTATTCCTACCGTCACTGTGATAATTGTCGAAGTCAAAGAAGTTATCCATCTCAATCCCCTCCTCCAGATCTAGATCCACTCTCGCAGAAGGTTCGCCATCGGCTTCACTCGATCTCCCAAAGTATAGCTCGGGTCAAATGAAATGGAAATGATCCGCCCTTCTTTGCCGTCATCGAACGTGGTGCCCGTCGCGAATCTGCAGACAAATCTGCAGACAATGCCCTGGTCGTCCAAAAACCATCTCAATCTGCAAATTAGCATCGTACTTTGATCCTATCGGCGCAAGGAGACGTTCGGAGACACGTTCAGAAGGCCAACACAGTGCATGAGGGCGGGGACGTTTCATGGGCGTGGGGCTGCTGGCTTCCGGCGGTTGCAACCGGTACTCTCCTCAGAAAGCGAAGTTGCAGGAGCTGCTTGAATCCGGTAGGGCCCGCGACCTTAAAATGCGTCGATCGAGGTCATGGCCGAGGTGTTGAAAGTCTGATGGAATGGCTGGACCAGGTATTATCTTCTTCCCGCTGGCGTTCTGGCCCTGACCTTGGCTTAGCGGAAGACGGATAGTGTTCCTCATAGTAGCACGTCATTGATTCAAGCGCAATTTCCCTTTCGAGAGAAATCTCCGGCATGGCGAACGAGGGGAAGACCGTTCGTGCTCTCTGTTCCACGACGGGGCCTAATTCGTGTTCAAGTGCCAACGCCATCATTCCGGGTGGCCAGTTCACGCTGTGCGGGACACGAGTTTGCAAGTCGCCCATCGCGGCTTTGGCGAGGTATTCGATCTCGTTATCCAATTTTTCTGCAAATCCATAGAAGGCGATCTGGATTCTGACGATAGGGTCCCCGGGTGGGGCGCCATCAAATGGGTAATCTTGCCTGATTGCGAGGTGGACTCCCGTGTCGCCACGTCTCGCAGCTGGGGAGGTATTAGAAACCAGGATCTGCATGGAGATAGCCTTTACAGTGCGTCCAGGATATTGCTCTTCCCATATCTCCACGATATTCGGTCTGAGGCCGCAGTCGTTGCACGAGGAGGAGTCAGACAATAGAGAAAGGGTGCGACATGTGTATGATATACCAGTCTAGGAGTATTCACACACGGGTCTCAGGGCCCGACGGTAAATCTATGAGACATTATATCACCGGTGGATATACTGTCGAGGGGGAATCTCAAATACCTACACGCTGAGGAGAAGCCCGGCTCATTACCCCTACCGGAGGAGTGGTGACCGATGACAACGTAGAAAATCCCATTGAAGATCTCGAAACAGACAGAGCGGCCGATATCACTCTTGGAAACCAAGGAGCCGTACATGTGCGGCGGAATTTCAAACAGCGTCTCCACTTCAAGGTGTAAGTTGTAAGGATGAAAACCCATCCTCTGTCCAACGACCAGGCGCCATAGCAGAGGTACGGCTGGCTAACCCTGACGACAAGTGGACCATCGGAAGGTGAGACGGTGCGGAACGACACCGACGGGATCCTTGTTTCGTATCTGTGGTTGTGGCGGGCGACGGCGACGGCAACAAGCCACTCCTCTGTCTTGAGGACATGCAAGTATACGAGAATGTCGTCTCTGTACTCGAGCAGAGCAGCCTGTGCCATATTGCAGTTAGTGTACGAGCACCCAGACGGAAAAAAGTCTCTGCTGCTTCGCGCGGGTTGATGACTAGTTCCTGAGCAGCCATCTTATGTAGTCCGAGAAGGCGAATGTCCCGACACTCAAGTCAGGACACCCTGTCGGTACAACAGCTGCGAACCAGTACCTAGCAGCGAGACCGAATAAGGCCGACCAGGCTGAAAAGCGCCTCGTATTGCAAAGGTATCGTGCAACGCATGGGCATAACTCGCTCCGCTGGCCAGAGTCCTTCTTGCTTCCAGCACTAGAGTGTGGTTGTTCTGGCTAACCCTTTAGTCTCGTCTCTAGAGAGGAGCATAATCATAAGGAAGGACATGCGTTGTATCTTACCGTCAGCAATTTTCGACAGAATGCATTATCAAGCGGATGGGAGAGGAAATATCGGCAAACGAAGCGAATTGTGGACATCTCGTCAATTGTAAGGAGGCCCAGGATACCGCAGATTATTTCGTAAAGAAGATGAATGAGCATGAGTCCCTCGCTGTGGCTGCGGGTGCGCAAAAGTTCAATAGTGAGCTCGAGTATCTCGGTCTCAATGTTTCCGACCCTCAAAGGTGACAACGGAGGTGTGAGTATGACTACTCCAGCTGGAAGCCCGAGGCCTGAAGGATGAATACTTAGTCGTGCTAAAAAGATAAAGGGTGAGCCGAGGATGATGGCGCATGTACGCTACCTGTGTACCCTTGTGGCAGAAGCTTCGGTAAGTCAAAATACCGGTGGAACGCTTCCTGTCGCTTTGCCCTTGGTATCAAGACGCCGTTTAGGTAGACCTCGCTTTCTTTGATTTCTTCATACTGTCTCTTACGTATCGTGTGGCCGATAGACTGCCACTCCCCGGGTTTCAAGATCTTACGGAAGCCCCATTCTTGGAACTTGACCTTGTACTGTTGTTCCCTACGAGACAGTTAGCTGCTACTATGTGCTGGGTTGTGGCAAACCTAAGCTTGTTGTGGCGTACGAAGCATTGAAGGCATGGCTTGCGCCCACGTATCTGACAATACACTTTAGTGTCATTCCTTGCTGTAAGAAGAGCTCAAATTACCTCGACTTGCGGCGTTCCCAGTCATCGCGAGAAGGATGATCGGATGTCATGGCGGACCAACAGCAGTGGTAGGCCAGGCTTGAACAGATTAAGAGACTAGCAGGTAGCAAAAGGTAGCTTGTGTACGTATTCTCGTATTTTAGCTGACGAGTCGGGAAAGAAGCCGGAGATCAGTCGGATTGGATGAACCTGTCGCCGCTTGCGAGGCTCGCCCTGATTCGGCGATATTCGAGGACGTCGAGGTGAGTGGCCCTCTGTAGTGAAGAGGACAGCTCGGGGGATGCGAAGAATGATCAATGTTTGGACTGAGATACAAGGATGAATCCGCCCTATTATAATGGTACAGCTTGTCAAATTAATGATGCGCGAACGGAGGGACCGTATTCGGGCCTCGGCGACGGGTATACGAAAGCATCCGATTGAGGAACAGAGTTTACAGGCTAGTTGAACATCGCTTGCGGAAATCTAGAGAAATATCAAGCTTCAGCCGTCCCAGAGGTTCTTTCTCATATTTACGTAAAATCGTAGGCTTTCCAGATCACCTCGTCAGACTGAACTGTCCACGGGATGATGTCCCTGCCCGAAAAGAAGATCCTAGATCCTAGTGTCTTGACGCTCTACTAGCTTGTATCCTTAACATCGAGACATTTACAACGCTGTCTGAACTGTCTGAGCTGTCTGAAGATGTAGTGGTTACTACATGGAATTTGACTAAGTATTATTTAGTGGCCATTCAAAGATCGTATGAGACAAAGACAATTGTTTGCTTGGACGCGCTGCACATTTGAACAATTTCACCATCCAGCGCGACGCGAATTTGACTACTAAATTTCTAACAGTAGAACTGCATGCTCATTAACTCATAGCATACAATCCCATCAAATTTCCCTCTGGGTCGACGAAGCGAGCAACGAAGCCCATTTTCGGACCCATACCGGTTTTGTCAAGGTGTGTATGGCCGCCGTTCTCTTTCACAAGATCCAGAGACTCTGTGATATCCCTAACAGCAAACACAGTGTGGACGCCAACACGATCCTTGTCCATCGGGTCCCTCGTGTCCAAGATGTTGGTCTTGTCCATCAGGCAGAAACAACCATTGATGTTATTTCCTTTAGTGAAGAAATAGGTCTCTTTGATGACTTCAATGAGGGAAGGCGCACCATTTTCCATGCACTTCCAGCCAAGCACCGCAGAGTAGAACTTACGAGCGCGGGCTGGATCGGTAACCGGAATCCAGATACCAACGCGGGAATAAGTATCATCGGAGCACTTGTACAGGTCAAGAAAGTGGACGTCAGAGACCGGCTAAGGACGTGGCAATGTGAAATATGGAAGTGAGGAAGGTGATTGACGGAAAACTTGCCTCATCAGACATGATGTAGGCTAGAACAAGTCCTCAACTTGATAGCGGTCACGATCCGGATTGCTGCAGGGAGAAATGGCAGCCTCTTTGGATTATCAAGATGTAGATATACTGCGTTTGGATTGCTGGTGCTTGGAGCGATAGAAGATTGAAAAGTTGAACTTGAGGTTGACCAAACTGTTAAATAAATTACCAACAATAGACTTGCTCGATAAATACCGAGTCTTCATCGCTGTATACCGGGTTGGTGGGGTACACGTCTTTACTGGTTGATCACGTCCCTGCTGCCTGGGTTCTGCCTAGCAGAGACCTCCTAAGCACATGACAGCGCACAAGTTTCGTGCCGAATTACGAAAACGAAAGGACACGCTAAGGCTGCTTTGGCTGTCGCGATGGGTAAGGGCTCATGCAAAGGAGACCAATGCCTTCGGTGTAGCCCCATTTTGAGGAAAGGCAATCTTCAAAGCCCTAGAATCTCGTGAAATTGAAGCTAGTTTTGGTGATGGTTGAATACGAATACGAATCTTTGCTCTCGAATAAATTCTCTGGTGTGCCAATCAATCGCCGAGGCTCCTCGTCGTTATCGAAGCTTGTGGCGTCTTTCCTATTGTTCGGGGATGGTACCCTGGGCTATCCTTTCATTGGAGTGTCGGCGACAACATCGCTCCAGCCAGTTTTTTGGACAAATCTCAGGGCGATGGAAAAGATTGGTTGAATGAGAAATCCATCCGAAGTGACCAGAGGTTTAAATGCGGAGTACTCGATACTCGGTGATGAGGGTGCCGCAACGCCAAGACTGATGTACTCTAGGCCTGATTTAGCTAGTGCAACAGATATGTTGACATCGGCATTTCCAAGCGTAAAGCATGCGTGCAAGTCTCTCGCCGAATACACCAGACCACGAATTCGTCGATGTTTGCCGCCACAGACACAAGTTAACCCAGTTGTTGCAGTTTCCATCTAACATACGCATGAAGACATATCAGCTCCTGCTACGATGTCCAGAGGCGATCCAATTCTCAATCTCTCCGGTTCATTTCGCCTCGCGTATTGCAACGACTGGAATAGGGTAGAGGCCGAGCAGGAAGCAGATACAGCATGCTCCCCTAGATTCCAAAATGCTGTACGACGGCCGACAACGACGGTAGTCCGGTGCTTGACAGGTTGGGAACGTTGGCGCCGATGAATACCACCAGAATGGCCGCAATCCTGGTTCTGTCGGTCATGTCATTGAGAACCGGCACTATTGTTCACCAATACCGCCGCCCGTGATAGAGATTCAGCCTGCGGCCGAGCTTGAAGAACTGCAACACTGAGAGCGCTTGCTCAAGCCCTTGTTTTGCGATCGAATGAAAATGCTTAACACTTCGAGACCAGGCATACAAACAACCGAGCAGGTTCAGACCGGGAACAACTCCGCCGCTGGTCGGCACTGCCTGTGAAAGTATCAATATCTTGAAGAGCATTGAGATTATGAAAATCGTATGCCCTGCCCCTCAACGGGGCCATTTAGGCGGAATAAAACTAAGATACATTGCAAGCTGAGACGCTCATCATCCTTCATCAACATGACCGCCACCAAGAACGTGGTGTTTGATACCGGGCTAACATCAAAATCACATTTGAAAATACCACTAACCCTCGGAGAGAATGAGCGACTTTAATATACAAAGAACAATACAAAAGTTGGCGACCAGCACAAGCGAATCGAGAATTCTGCGTCCAGAAAACCAGATCGATTAGCCAATGAATGTGCCTTCAACGTATCCTTCACTGAATTGCTCCACTATTGGATAATCTCACACCGAGTTCGAATTGTCGGCACAGGACCAGGCCACAGAGCCACCAGAGGCTTTATACGAATCAATGATGCTAACAACCGACCCATAGGTACCACTAATCATCAAGAAAGTTCCTGAAATGATCACAAAACAACTCCAGCATACTGTCAGTGAGAGTTTGGTACTCCGTTCCGCCCTAAATTTACTCCCGTTGTCGTACAGCTACATACAGCCCATTGGCAGGAACGACATGAGAGTGCCGAGCAAAGCCCCCATGAGGGACACAAGGCCACCGAAGACAGGAATGGCGCTTGCAATCACATAAGTGACAGTCGCATCCCAGTCGTGCAGCCTAGCCAATTCACCCAATGTCTAACAGTACCCTCGGTGAGGTGGGAAGTACCACGCAAAAGTCGACCCAAAACATACTTAGCGGGCAGGTGGATGACAAGAGTCGTCGTAACAATAAGACCCGGAAGAGCGAAACCATAAGCGACCTTTTTCAGGAGGGCTCCGGCTGATCCAAGAGCAGGCGAAGCCACATATGAGCCGGCATAATAATAGACCACAACGCCGATCGTGATGTATGTCGCCGTAACGACACTCTGGCAGATAATGAGGGATCGTGTATAGAGTCGAGGATATCGCATGTCAGAAACGGTTGAAAACAAAGTAAGCATGCCGGAGTATGCGAAAACCAGCGAAGAACAAGCGGAGATGGCGTCAGTGAAAGACGGATTGTTGGTGACTTTGTAATGCGACACAAAGAAACCTGATGCAGGTGCGTCTGCAGACCGATCTTGTACGCCAACAGCAATAGTGACTGTGAAAACTATGAGAGGGTCAGCGTCTACTAGGCGTAGCTCCTAGGAATAACATACTTGCAGTCAAGATACATATCACTCCAACCCAAGCGGGCCACGATATCTTGCTAAATGTCTGAATGCGGAAGAGGCCGAACCCTATAATTGCAGCAACAGCAACAAAAACAGCAGTACATACTCCATGTGTTGAGACGGCATTCAGGCCAATCGAAATACCGAGCATGCCAGCACCAGCGAGGAAAATCCAGTCTGTTTGTTCAATGTTAGCAGAAGAGCTATCATCTGTGGTTAGGAAAAATTCACAAAGGACGGATGTCACACCGAATAATTCGCGCCCAATACAGCCGAACAGCAATTGACTAACATCGTCGAGGCTATAGACGGAGCGGTGCCGAAGCTTGAATACACCGACAATACAGTCCGACCACGTTGTGATCATAGCGATCACTATTAGACATATACCACCGGGAACCATGCCAAAAACATCAAACAATGCTCGAATCGAGAGGACCCCCAGGCCAATCTGTGTTTTCATCATAAGGATGGCTGTTCGTAGCCAGCCGACCTATCATAAACTGTCAGTTTCTGCTGCTAGATGACATTCTGCGAAGCACGAACATTACAGTAATTTGGACCACCTTCAACAGTCTCCCCAAAGACGTCATCAACGATAGACACCCGTCGCCCGGTCACAGAGAGGCGGCGTCCAGTTTCATCCACGCTGTAGGATCGATACTCATTCTCCTGAGCACCTACAGACTTGTCGTCAATCTTTTCGTTGTTCATGTTGGAAGAACACTAAGAGTCGCGGGCAAACAGACGTTTGTCGATGGTGGACTAGAGAGATCCATGGGAGGGCAGGATACGATACGATAGTTATAGGCCCTCGAGTGAAAGCTTCCCTCGCGGGAACTTGCCCAAGGAGATGGCTGTTGCTTGGACGGCGCCATCATGGGATGGGGTGGTGGTGACGGCGGAACGATTTTCCGAAATCTGGGGTCTAGTTCTTGTCGGGACCCCATCCGATATTCTTGGGCGCCGTTCATCGGATGTCAGAAGCGGGGTTGAACCAAACCCCTATACCACAATACGGTTGCGAATCCGATGCTTCTCCCCCCATGCAGGTATGTGAACAGCAGATACGAAGGCATTTAGCTGAGGGCTTGAACACTCAGGGCAGATAAGCGTTGCCACCTCCGGCAAGACGTTATTCCGTAAAGTACCATTTCTATGTGCGATTTACCTGATAATCTTTACGGCCAAGTAGCTTCTCGACTTTTCCTTGGCTGGTTCTGAAGGACAATTGAAGGAACTTCCAACAGCGAGAAGGCTGGGATCGAAATAAAGCATTTCCCTAAGGACGTCCAGAGACTATTAACTCTCGAGAGGAAGCCCACCTGTGCTGGAGATTGGCGAATGAGACCCGGGTCGGGACCCCGACGGATGCCCTTGATCTGGTACCGTTGGAACATTTTTGAAATGGGTCAACTTAACCCAACCGCCCTAGTCGAGGTGGCGAGACGTGGGGGAGGGGCTTTGATACGGTGGTGGACCTCGTTTCCCGGACCTGCTGGCACTGTACGTCTCTTGCGTTACCATCTGTCGTCACACTCTCCAAGGAAAATACTCGGAGTATGATTTGGCAACTTCTGACAATCAACATCATGATTATCTGCATGGACGTAAGCTATCAAAAGGATTCGACTATGTTTATGACTGACAATTTTTTAGACTGCACTTGTGGCCCCACAATTCAAGCGCCTCCAGCTTTACCAAGAAAGTATCAAAGCCTTTGTTTACAGTGTCAAGTTGAAGCTTGAGCTAAATATCCTTTCCAAGCTAGTGGACCTCGTCCAGCGAAGTTCAATTGATAGATCATTGACTTTGGAGTTCATCGACGCAAATTCGATCGTTGGACAGACACAAGCGGCAGTGTGCTGAGAGCCGTGGATGCCAGAGCATGTCAGCACTTGGTCTTCAGCCGCTGGCAAAGGTATCGAGGAGCATATCGAGGACGTCCACGGCACCAAACCGGGGGATACAGCTCTACACTCTAGACCACCCGATGAAGTCGATGGCATTACGCGAGTCCTTCTCAGCGCTCCAGATACACGGCAAGGACAGCTAGCGCAGAGAGTCTGACATCTTGTATGCAGAAGTCCTTCGCTCTCTGAAGTAAGGTTGATCGTGTTTGCGAGATTCAGATTCCTCTGCCTTTTTCTACTGATTCGTTGCAAAGTGGCTGATTTATGGGGAACAACGCGCACGCTGCAGGCTCGCTGTATTGCGAGAGTGTATGTAAATAACTGCATTTTGTAGCTTTCGAAGCCTACATGTAAGTAATGGCCGATGCTGGTAGGAAAAGGTGGAGGACCTGTCAACCTGGTTGGTTACTTCTTCCGGTACCCTGGCCGGTATTACTATATTTTTGTATTGGTCGCTATGCGCTTGAGATTATCAATACTACAATGCGGAACAACTGGCACGGACAAAACAAAAAACTATAAGAACGACTGGGCAGCGACGCGGCAGTCTGGGAAGAGAGGGGAATCGCCCGCGTTCATCTATGGGCTCGGTCCGACTTTGACAAGAACCGTATTGTTTTCCTCCCGGACAATTGCCAGATAAGTCCGTTCCTTGCAATAGTACGCCACAACACCGAGGTACTTATCATGTCTCAGGCTTGAAAATTTCACGAGCTTTCTTGAGTAGATTATTCAAGGTGCCAGATTCTCGAGCAAGGTAATGCTCAGTAAATAGGCACTATCAGCTAGCGTCGCGATGGCACAGGTTAAAATTGCAGCAATGCATCTGCCATCCAGTACACCGCAAATTAAAGACGCGAGGAAAAGAGCGACAGAAACAGGAGAGTTAGAGAAAGTCTGGGTTCAACAGTGGGCATCCTCATTCAGCCATCATGGCAACTTGTCGACCGAACTTTACAGGTTGGTCTTTCCAATTCCGGGATACTTGTCCTCATCTGTTTGCCGTTACTGCTGGCCCTTGCCAAAATCGAAACCGTCTTGACGACGGACACCGGCGACCGCATCCGATATCATCTCTCTAGAATGACCGCAAACGAGGCCGGGTTCATTGATCGGAACAATTGCCGCGATATTCTGAAATAGATCTACCATCAATGCGCTCGTAAGGAAATATGTTTCGGCGTGTACTGTGGCGCTCCTATATATTTGCTGTTTTAGATTTGCATCATGGCATCCTTCTTGTGGGATAGCGCTCGCTTCTTTGATTTGATTCTGAAAGCCCTGCAAAATTTAACAAACTTTGAATTCCGGAAGCTCGAAGGCTCTCATGCCTTGAAGGCTTCCTCTCCATATCGGCAAGCTTTCACAAAGTATGTCTTTCTTTGAGACGGCACCACGACTTCCCGAAGACGCCGTCTTTGCTCTCACCACTGAGTATCGTGATGATCTGTCCCCTATGAAAGTAAATCTTGGACAAGGGAGCTATCGTAATGAGGACGGCTTTCTTGGGTTCTACCTGCTGTCCGCCGAGCTCGGAGAAGGCTGGTAAGTCCAAATTTGGACCATGAGTATTTGCCAATTCTTGGATTGCCCGAGTTCAAAGCCGCGGCTGTAGAACTCGTCTTTGGGACAGAAGGTTTATGCTGCAATCCGACCTAGGGTATGTTTGTGAGCCGTTTCCCATTATCTTGTACTAACTTCGTCTACAGATAGCCACCTGTCAGAGCCTCTCCGGAACTGGAAGCCTACACTTGGCGGGATCACTAATCAGGAATTGCAGTTCTTTGAATTGTCAAGCGTGGGTTTTGGTCGAATCATCATTTGGTGTCTTCTCCCATTGGCTTTCAAGTTCGCGCTTTTCGATATTATAACCCTGAAGCAAAAGCACTACGCTCGGCCGAACCAAACTCGATTGTCATCTTACATGCTTGCGCCCATAACCCGACGGGATGTGATCCTGCACAAGACCAATGGAGAGAAATTGGTGAGATCGTCAAAGAACGACAACTCTTTCCCCTTTTCGATGCAGACTATTTAGGATTCAGGTCTGGAAATTTTGACGAAGACACATTTTCCATCCGTTATTTTGTGAACAACCTTAGCATGGAAGCTGCGGTAGCTGTCTCATTGGCGAATAATAGGGGACTGTATGGTAAGCCGGTCTGGGAGCAGACCAGAAGGAGTTTGCACAGCTTACTAGCCATGACAGGCGAACGGGTTGGGGCTACCATTTTTGCGACCAAGTCCGAAGACATTGCACAGAATTGCGAATCAGAATTGGAGACTGGTGCGTTCCGAAAGATCGAATCCTCCAGCATAGAGCATGAAGATCGCCGCGCAAATTCTACGTGATCCGTTGCTGCGTAAAATTTGGTTCGAAGATCTCAAGACCATGAGCAATCGAATCTCGTTGATGAGAACGACGCTTTACAACCTACTCTTTCAGAACTGTACGTCTTTTAATCTGGCCTCATCTGCAACAGCCTGACAAATGATCAGGGGCAACAGAAAGGTGGGATCAAATTGTACAACAGTCAGGAATGTTCGGATTCCTTGGCTTGACGCTCGGCGTCGTCCTCCAATTAAGAGGTTAATACCGGACCTATCCATGCATGTAAATGATTCATCTGACCTGTTGAGCAGAGCGATATCACATCTACATGGCGGATAATTCCCGTATTTCTATTGCTGGACTCAACGAATCGAACGTTTATATGTCGCCCGAGCAATTACTGAATGTTTACAAGCTGCGAGCCAAACCGAAATGTAGCCACTGGCCTTACATCTATAAGCATAATGCGACAAAAATGGCCTAATCGTATGATTGTGCCACGTGGCATAGTTGATAAATCCTTAAAACAAATCTGCATCCTTTCATTCAAAAAGTCTGAGGCTTGATGCAACCTTTCCAAATTCACGATTTGCTAAAATAAAATCCCCGATTCATTTCTGCACCCTTCTGAACATCACAAGAATCTTAATCCCCCAACCGCCAGCAATGGGTCATATTCTGTGAATTGCTCAGCTAGTCCTGCACGTTCGACCTCCAAAGCAGTTTTTGGTTATTTGAGTGATTTTATACTCAGGGCTACTTTTGCAGTTTCCGTGACAGGTACACTCTCTCTCTTTCTCGAAGCAGTCTCTCGCGGTTATTATATGATATAATTCATTCTCTCCTTGCTCTTAATCACCAAAGATCATGCCGAGGATTTTGTCATAGATGTCGAAGATGACCTCGAATAATGGTTGTATCTTCTGTGCCCTTCGCAACCACCTAAGCTCATTCTCGGTTGCTTCTCCTTGATTAAACCTCGCCAGCCACTCCTTGCGTATCCGGGGTCCAAGCCAGAACTTGGAAGCCAAGAACGTAAGTAAGGTACATCCATTTGTCAAAAATGCAGAATAGATATAAATGCTGTCTAGGTTGGAAGTGCCGCCGGTCCTGCTCTTCGCGTAGGCGTAGATGGTCGGGGGGATAGAGAGAATAATTGCTCGGGAAAGCCCGTCGAGGGTCTCGAAAAGGACAAGGGTTGGACTCACGGAGAGATTGACTATCATTGCCGCTGCCTCAACCCAAAGCCGCTTGAAGAAAGACCTGATAATGATCGCGACGAGTGCTTGGAACGCAATTACAGCAACAATGATACCAGGCGCTGCCGTTGTTCCCATCAAAATATATGAACACATCGTGTAATCGACAACCATCTTGCGAAACGGTAGGGCTGCCGATTCGGGGCAATCTAAGACAGTAATACGGTCTGGGTTAGTCGAGATTGAGAGCCTTCTCATCTTGCAGCACGGAGACTTACTATGAAGTATTTTCAAAGACCAACGCTGAACTCTTCGGTATGTAATGATAAGATCACCGTCACAACATGTTCTAGTCTCTTCAGGGAGCCTCGTCAGAAGAATTGGGCAGTCAAACACGGCAGAGACGTGAAGTTCGGCTATATCATCGAGTAAACATAAACTTCCCCTCCTCAAGAGGGTCTTGTGATTTTCCGAGTCATCCTCTTCAACCATCCTTTCACCTTGACGTACTGAGTCACTCTTTTCAACCGCATTCAAGACCTGCAGGCAAGCTCCTCGGAGAGCGGTCGTTTGCAAATTCCCATGAAGACCCTGTCGATAATCGTCTCTATCGATGAGAAGACAAATTGCCCCGTTGTAGCGTTTGGTGAAGTCGTCATTGGCTGATCGAATGAACTCGACATGGTACCGGGTTTCCGAAATCCACAGCGTATTCACGTCGAGTATGCTAGGATTAGCCATGAACAAGTCCGTACAATCTGGCATTTCCTCCAACTCCAGGTATTCCTCTCCCCATGTCATAAATGCCTCGGAGACCAGCTGAAACCTGCTTGGATAAAGAGGAAGCCATCTATTGTGCTCATCTTCTCTAGCCTCGTGCCCTTTGTCGCTCGCGCTTGCGACTCCCGTATCCTCCACGGTCGTATCTGATTTTGGAATGTAAAATATTGACAGGGGTACACCGGGTAAGCTTCTTAGTAGAGTCATCATTGGCTGCGGAGAGCTGATGATATGAAACATGTTAAGATCCAATAAATTGGCCAAAATTTTTAGCCTGTCTTCGGATCGAGATGTTTCGCGCCTGGCAAGAGCGTTCCAGCAAGCCCGGAAATGCTGCAGCCGTTCTCGTGTTTCAATGGAATCACTACCTTTCGACTTCCATTCCTGGAGGAACGACTGATCTAATCCCTTCTCTAGAGGAATGCACAGCATCTTCTCTATTCGACTTCCAAATTTCTTCGCATATTGAGCACGCTCGGCAACATCGCGGCTGACTCCCCGCAAAATGAAACTCGCGATCTTGACCCAACCCGGAATATTCGGCGCCAATAAATATCGGTATACATCGTCGCGGAAGAAAGTTGCTGCATCAGGACTGGACCAGAAACCCAATTCTAAAAGGTCGCGTGTGTATGAGGTCGGGTCAACTGAGCTCTCAATGCAACGCAACTGGCGTAATGGACTGAGAGCAGCTTCATTGAGCGTCCAACATCTTCCCATCCAAGTGGAGAATAACAATCGTGCTGAGAATTCACATGAATCCGAACTCTTCGCGCGAACGTGGTCCATAATCTCGGAATCAAGAATAATGGCTTTATTCGCGCCTGCAAACACGGGATTGATCTTAGCGATCGCTTGCCATCTCAATTCATCGGAGTCTTCTGCGTCACCATCATCCCCTTTCACTGGAATACAGAGGGTATCTATCCAGAACAACTTCGTTTTTTCCCGAGAAAAAGTTCCTCTTAATGCGTCCATATTTAGGAACCGGCCGACGTTGATATTTCCCGCTAATTTTATAGGTTCGTTCAGATAATTTTCGAGTCTCTCGAGCTCACATCTCGGGAGTGAGTTGGAAGAAGAGTTCCCAAGTCCATCTGACCATACGTGAGAAAATGCAACGTATGAATCAGTGGCACATGCGGCTTTCACACCCAAAGAGATCTCCCCTGTGACGCCGCTTCGCTCCAAGAATGCGAGAGGGATTCCTCCTTGCTTGATTATTCTTCTCATTTCGTCGGTGGGAATTGGGATGAATGCACATGAACAACTGGGCTGCGCATGACGTGTCTGATACGTATTTGGGTTAATATTGAATGCAGTACATGCATCTCTCGTGCACTTGTCATGGGTAATTTCTGGTCGATAGTGTCGCTGGATCTGCGCAATGTACCAAACCAGTGGGGAGTAGAAGGTGCGTAAAACATGATTGATCTGGAAAATACACCATCCGTTTGATGTCATCAAACGAGTAATGAACTGAACTGTTAAAGCCGATTCAGGCAAACTCCATCCGTGGGGTCGTATACGGTCAGCTTTGGCTCCCAGACACGCGAATTGTAGGGTGTCGATCAGGACTCTAATAGACAGAAGAACGGCCGGTAAGGGTCCCGGTGATGAACGATATTCGTCTTTCTTCTCAATGCCAATGCAAATCCATCTGGCAGATTTCAGAAGCTCTTGAAGACGGGATAGCTCTGAAACATCATTCTCTTCTGGTAAGTCGTAAATGTCTTGGTCATCGTCACTATGATCCGTGTATTGTAGCGGCCGGAGCTGAAGACCTAGGTCTTTCAAAGGGACAAGGGACACGAAGTCGGCGACTATCCCATCTTCCGACACCTCACGGCGCAAGAATGTTTTCGGGTCAATCGACCTCCCAGCGAATTCTGCTAAGAGACCAAAATATAACCATGCCTGAATGAATGATGCAACCTCTTCAGCGCTGTACAGTAGACCTTCTCTGTCATAGCGGGTATACAACAACCAGAAATCTCCAACATTGTACTCGATGCGGGCGAGGAAAGGGACCTGAAGAGGGGTCGGAGTGGTAGTGTTCGGTTGGGGTAAATGATCCATTGCAAAGAGGCAGCTGTAGCTGGGTGAGGGGAAAGCGGAATATGAAAACACTATGGGATGGGTCAGCCTTAAAATGCACTAGATCAAATGTGCTAGCGGTGTCTTCTGGGCTTCCTTTTCTCGCCGTCTGCGGTTCTTGTCTCAATAAAAATATGCATTCAAGCCCAAGGAAGTTTCGTCTGCCCGAGATAGGCTTCGTACTAGAGGACCAGGGCGAAACACGTGTTCCCTCCTAAATGTAGAGCTGCGCAGAACTACACGAGGCTGGCGTTTTGATTGGAGTTTTATCAACTGCAGCCCAAGCCTCAAGTTGGGCTCGTGCTTGCGTTCACATGCGCCAAAGTCCAACCAAGCCTGCGTCTCAAGTCTGGTTGAAACCTGACTGCCAACCTTGAGCGCCGGTCGCCAAACTCACAGATTCCAGGTCGCCCCATCTTCATTCACTCAGACTGCCAACTCGTAGACGCTACGAGAGAAATAAGACTAGTCCTAAAGAGGAATGAATACGCTAGGTTAGTTTGTACAGTACGAGGCACTTTGCAGTGGATACTCCAGCGGATCCAGCTCCACCTCCAAAGTCGGTGCTCCGTTTACGATCATCTATCACTCAACATGCCTGTTTCCTGGAAAGGGTAGGCATAGCCTAGACTGACTACTCCGCAGATAGCCAGATACCTCCGGGTTCCGCTGAGACGTCAATCACTGAAGATGTATACCTTGTTCATTCAGGACTCCGACTACAAATGCCACGGATCCCGCACATTTATGAATCGGCGCTGCAAAAAGGGAAACCTTATGTTTTCACATTGAGATTTTCGTCCTCAACTCAAGATGCGTTTTGTTCTTCTATATAGCCTGGCGGCATTGGCTACTTGTTCTTCTGCTCTCGCTGTCCCTGCTCCAGGCGCTCAACAAGCCAGTATAGGAAACTCAGCGAAGGACGACGATGATTATGACCTTGAGCCTTCCGCCAATTTCGCATTCTCTGGTATTACAACCTTTTCGAAACTCCCGTCTGTGCAATGCTTGACAGAGGCTGGACCCGTGGACGACATTTTGATCTTGGGGTTCCCTTTTGACACAGCAACATCATACAGAACTGGAACGCGCCTAGGTCCAAATGCTGTGCGTCAGGGTTCTCGAGCAGCTTCTCTAGCGTAAGTCTGTCTCCAGAGGCCGTATATTCACGCCAGAGCTGATATTAGGCAGTGGGCACTATAACTACCGCCAGTCAATCAATCCTTATAAACAGAATATATCGGTAGTTGACTGTGGAGACCTGCCCATTTCTCCTTTCGATAATGGTCTCGCTTTTGCCCAGATGGAAGACTGGTACAAGCGACTTCTGTGGAAGGAGTTGAGATCCGGAGAAAAGGGAATCAAGTCTTCAAAGGTATTCCAGACACCGGTGGACTTCAGCAAAAATAAAAATAAATGCTGATGACGCGCTCAAAGACTGGCAGGAGTCATCCCCAAATCATCGCACTTGGTGGTGACCACAGCATTTCTTTGCCGATTCTGCGAGCCTTGAACACTGTCTATGGGAAAGTGTCCGCCATCCACATCGACGCGCACATTGACACATGGTCGCCAAAAGTATTCGCCGGGGCCAAAGCCGGCAGCAAACAAGCGCAGTTCGCCGACGGCACACCATACTACTGGGCAGGCATGGAAGGCCTGCTGAGCACCAAGAACGTGCATGCCGGAATTCGAAGCTCGCTAGACTCGGCGAAAGACATGGAACTCGACCAAGAAGTAGGCTTTACGACGATTCCGGCGTCAGATATGCTCAAGAGGGATGGCGTCTGGGGTGTCATCAACAAGATCCGTTCGGTCATCAGCCACGACGAGCCTGTCTACGTCTCCCTTGATGTAGACTGTCTCGACCCTGCTTTTGTGCCGGGCACTGCCGGCCCAGCTTCTGGAGGATGGACCCCGAGAGAAATTATCCAAATCATTATAGATGCACTTGATGGTTTGAACATTGTCGGCGTCGATGTCGTGGAGGTCCTCCCAGCCCTGGATCAGGCCGAAATTACAGGTATAGTTGCTGCAGAGTTTACAATCGAGGTATGTTGTCGAACCAACCGGGCCCTGAATCTGTGCTAACCTAGGTGAAGCTGATTACCAGGTTGGTCAAAAACAGACTCGGTCTATGAGTCTGCTGATCGCCTAATTGGTCGCGTCGGGTATGGGAAATGGTTATCTCACTCAAACGACATATTCTTATACTTCTTATTTTGGTGGCGGTCTTAAGTCATATTCATCCTGAAATGCAGGTAGTGGAGCTTGAAGACTCTGGAAACGAGAAGCTGTAGTGTTTTACTAAGGTCGATATACTCATTGAAACCCACTTCAATTCAACCTGTCCCTCACCAGAGAGTCTGCTCTCTGCGGGACGTTCATAATTCCCCTCGACTCATTATCACCGAGTGCTATGACAGATATATTGCTATACGCGCAGGAAGAGAGCGACGTAATAGATCATTCGCAAGTAATAGGCTGTCGTAGTAACAATGATATAAAAACCTCAGAGTACTTCCCATTCAAGGCATGTGCCAGCCAGAAATGTTTAACATGTTGTAGACCTCTTCTCGGACCGTGGTAACTGTTCTGTACCTAAGGATATGTCCATAGAAAATTTTGATGCAGCTTTTCGTTAGTCCGATGTGGCATGTAATCTAGATACATCTTTAGCCAACTTCCTCCATCGTATGCTGAGAATACAGCAAGACTGCAGAACCAGAAGTGCACCGCTCCCGGTAATGATGCCCGCCCATAAACCAAAGACACCATAATGCTTCTGAAAGCATAGAAACCATGCAGTTGTCAAGCCCACCCCATAATAAGCCAGGAAATTGCAAACACCTGACAAATGGTTCTTTCCTGCACCTCGCAGTATTCCGCTCGCGCCGCCGTTGGAAAGATCCAGAACTTGGAACCCAGCCATTAGTGGGAGGACCTGTGCCGTCTTCTCGATCACCGCTTCGTCGCTGGTGAAAAGGCGACCGTAGCCATTTCTTGAAAGCATGATGACAAGGAACTCGATGCCTCCAATGACGAAAGATAGGAGGTATGGTGTCGCTATAGCCTTCCTCGCTTCCAGGCCCTTGCCGGCACCAAGTAAGCCACCTATACGGTGACTAGAAGCCACGCTTATCCCAAGTGACACCGTTGTGAAGAGTAAGTCGGAAGACATCAATATCTACAATCAATGTCAACAGGAGAAAGTGACGGACTAGAAAGGCCTCCAGACTTACACTCTGAGCTCCAATAGAGCTGGGATCCAGTCTTGCGGCCATCATTGCAAGAATTTCGAAGCTGTAGTGCATCGAAAGTTAGATCTGATGTGAAAGCAGAACATGCGGCAAGCTCACCTCCACCACTCAGTAGCAATTGTCAAAATCCCAGTGACAGCGTAGAAGGCCAAACGTGATATCCCTTTCTGAATGCCAAAAATAGACCCGTACCAGGTCCTCCTAATTGCAGGCTTCCGAGCAATGACGCAAAGCAATGCAACAACGGTAAGGAGTTGGTAGATGCAGAAGGCACAAGGAACACCCCAGAGCCGCAGCTTCGTCCAACGAACCAGGACGAAGGTCACCAGAACGCCAACCGCGCTGGCTGCCGCCGTGGACAGTCCCACGATGTTGCTCTCGCCCTGAACTTGCACAAACTTCTTCAAGCATTCGCCCACAACTTGTAACATGCCGGCGGGGAGCATGAATAACATGAATTTGCCCGTTGCAAATGCGAAGTCTTGCTGCTGACCTAGAGCGATGAAAATGTGTCCCGAAAATACCCAGATTGGCGCAATCAAGAGGCCAAAGATCCCGAGCAAGATAAGCAAGCATTGATGTAACAGGAGTCCTAGAATTTTGGGATTATCTGCTGCCAAATGGGAGGTTGAGACCTGAGCACATAACGTATCAAGTGCTGTTGCGCCGCCGATACCAATCATGGTTCCAGTGCAGGAGAAGAACATGAACCCAAAGGACGTGACTTCCAGCTCAAACGAACCAACACTCCCGGCTATTAGGGCGCTGATTGCTTGTACCGCATTTTGCAACGCGAATGATAGACAAATGGGAATTGTCTGCCTGGTTAGACCACCGAGATCGTGAAGGATATCAAAAGCGACATCCTCCTCTTTGGTAGAAGCGGAGGGAGTCCGGGAAAGTAGCTGCGAGCGTTCATCGACGATGCTTTCGTCCATATTGATGGTACTTTGTGAGTGTTATTGGGAAAAGGCGAGCAAAGGCCGAGAGAGCTGCCCAACAGAAGATACTTAACCAAGTACATATTCATAGGCATGTCCGCTTTAACTACGGCGCATAAGCCCTTGTCGCGAAAGATAGCCAGGGTAGTCACCTTCCCCATAGCCTGTTGCTTGACATATCTGGCAAATCCTCTGCCCGCCCTTGATGGAAATGCTGTTCTTCTCGGACTGCGATATCTGGACGTTGCCTGTGGTCGGACACATCTGCGCCCCACTACTTGGTACCTCGTACGTAGGACGCGGCACGCTAAACCTAGAGGGGAAACCATATCCTATCTTTTTATCGGCTGATAACTTCATCGTTTCCGACGGCTGCTTACCATCCTCTTCACATGCTGCTACAACTCATTAGGGAGAGAGATGCAACATTGAAGGTGAAACTTGGGTGTGCTGGACTGCCCGATCAATCTCCTCTCCATCGAGTCGGCTGACGTAGCAGTCCTTTGGTGTCATAACCGCCCAACAACTGCCATCGAGAAACTTCAATGTACGCAAACATGAACCGTCTCCACCTTATCGCCGCGACATAGGCTACATTGACCAGACTGCCTAAGATCTCTGCGCATCCCGCCTCACAGCCGCGCCTTTGGCGGCTAGCTATGGCAGACCCCAGATCTAATGCAGTTCAGCGTCAAAAACGGTCCCGCACGGGCTGCGACGAGTGTCGCCGGCGGCATTGGAAATGCAACGAGGCGAAACCAACCTGTGGTTACTGCCAGAGTGTAGGCCGTCTCTGTGTATACTCACGGAAAATCTCCTGGGGCGGGCGTCAGTTCAAGAAGTCACGTTTCGGCAGTTGTCTAGAATCGGGAGCAAGAGCTGTAAGCATTGCAGTCCCGGGCCGTAAGTTTTGCACTCGAGTGCATTGGGCTATGTCTGATTCACTTTGCAAAGAACAGCAGTCGACTCATAAAAGCTTTATTTACACATGTTCGCCTAAAAGAAGAAGTAACAGTCCAAGCCGTGATCGAGGTACATCTGCGCTCTGTCGCGTAACGCCTAAGCCACTGCCAGATGAGATCGAGGACTCGACCGTTTATCCCGAGGCCTCTTTGGGACCCCAGCCGCTAAGGGCCGCGCCAGCATTAAAAGAAGAGTTCAAGCCGCTCTTCGACTACTTTGTCCACAGAATGACCGTATCGATTTCCTGCCACAAAGGAATTCAAGACGAAATTTGCTCGGTCATTGTCCCCATGGCCATGCAGGTCCCGCATTTGCTGTCTGCAACTCTTGCTCTAGCAGCTGCTCATCGCCGAACATCCGGCCTTTCTGAAGGAGATTGTCAATTTGAACTGATGAAGGGGAACAGCCTTACACAGTTGAGATCTGCCCTAGGCCAATTCAGTCCAACCGAAAACGACAAAGTCCTTGCCACCACCCTGCTCTTATGTATGGCCGAAGTCATATCCCCTCCTACAAGCAACTCATCATGGAGGTCACATCTCTATGGCGCTGCCACCCTCTCTGCTCAACACAGCCGCTCAAGCGGTGCCAGTGTATCGGCCATTTCCAGCTTTCTCAGGAGAAAATACCGTGCGCTGCAAGCAGTAGCTTTGGCTTGCTGTTCGAAAAGATTCGAGGGGTGCATACTAACCACGCATTGTGATGATGGCCATGCTTACATTGACGACCTAGCTGGATATTCGACGAACCTGCTGCCGATTTTTGAAGAGATTAACAACCTGGAGCGAATACGAGATGATTGTAACTCGGAGTTTTGCTGCGACTGTCCGCCTGGGCCACCGCATTTTGACTGCAATTCGCCTCTGGAGCACAAGTCCCACCTATTATTCGACCAGATCAGAGCATTAATGGCACAGAGAAAGATGTCACGGACACAGAGTGATGGAGACCTTCCTTGGGCCGTCTATCATGACCTCTACCTCGTCGATGAAGCCCATCATCATATGGCTCTTCTTCAGGTCTTTCGTCGTGGGTCCTTGTCCGTTCCTTTGCAACTGATCGACGATAGCAGACGATCAATCCTAGATTGTCTCTCAGCTGTCACGTACCAAGCCGGCCCCTGCCCCGGGGTGGCCGCGCTACCTCCTTTATTCGTGGCGGGTATCCTATGTACAGATAAATCAGACAGGGACAAGGTCCGCAGCTTGCTGAAAACCATGTGGATGAATTACGGAATGGGGAATGTGAAGTCTTGTCAGACTGTGCTGCAAAAGTGGTGGAAGCAACAGGATGAGAGGTCTGCTCAATCGGCGTTTTTAGGGAAGCTACGGGATTTTCAAGGTGAGATGGAGAATTCATTTTCTATGCTATGCATCCGCACTAACTGGGCAGCAGCTGATGATGATGTTCTTCCATATTGACGGATAAGGCTGGAAATGACAACTGGTTAGCCTCCCCCACACTAAGTGATCCACTTCAACATCAAAATGGACCAGTCTAGGTAGACAAAATGTCTGATCCATCCTCTTCGAGAAAGAATCATGAATGATAGGAGTGGTGGTAGGTGAGATGAACGATGGCAGGTGGTTTTGGCGGTTGAGTAGTCCGTTGGCTATTTTAGCCGGTCACGTGCCAATCGGGCTCGCTTGTCCACGTGGTCTCTACCGCCGAATTTAGCGGCCCAATCACTTTGGGTGCTGCGAGGGCCAAGAGATGGCCGGCGTAGCAGTTCCTGCCGCCGCGAAGATGTCCGGCCTGGTCTTACCACTCCCCCCTAATAGCCCAGGGTCTCCCGTACAATCCCTATCAAGTATTTCTGGTGCTGCCCCCAGCGCTCTCACTTAGGCACCAAAGTAATCCCTAAAGCCTCATTCCCCAGCCCACCAGCCCCAGCCCCAGCCCCAGCACCAGAGTTTGCTTCGGACATTTTTATTACCCACAACACCCTTTTTGCCTTCACACGCGTGTCGATTTGTTACTGGGACAATGGCGGCCTGGACTCCATCTCTCTGTCGTCCACAATCATTTTCGTCTTCGCTCTTGTCTCCGTTATCGCATCACAGTCCTTTCTCACGCTCATTGTCTGCTGTTGGCTGTCCCCCCGCACGTCTCCTGCATCGGCATTCGCACGTCCAATCGCCCTCGCAGTCCCCCACCATCACCATCGTTTACAAGTCGACAAGGAAATTTTTCAAGCTGGCTCCCTCCGGCTCACGTCCATATTCTCCAGCTACAAGTCGTCTGAGTTTGATCTCACGACACCTGGAACAACACCAACAGTCTTCCTATCCTCCCATTAACACTCCCTATACAATTGAGCTGGACTCGTTACCAGCGTCCGCAGACGACATTCCCTACGTCGCTCCAGCACCACCTGTACATCTCCTTAGAACACCCTCTCAGATTCAAAAACGACAATTGTCTACCTCATCCGCCGCCAAAATGTCCTCCCAACCTCCTCACCCTTCCCTCCTCATCCCGGGGCCAATTGAGATTACCGATGAAGTCTCCCAGGCCATGAGTCACTATGCGCAATCCCACGTTGGACAACCATTCGTCAACACCTTTGGCGAGACGCTCACGCTGTTAAGAAATCTTTTCCAGACCACTAACCCGGCGTCTCAGCCTTTCATCCTTGCTGGGAGTGGCACACTGGGCTGGGATCTCGTGGCAGCGAATCTGGTGGAGCCTGGTGAAGATGTTTTGGTACTGCACACTGGTTATTTCGGAGACTCATTTGCGGATTGCCTGACAACCTACGGCGCAAAGCCAACGCAACTAAAAGCCCCCATCGGGGACAGGCCGCAACTTGCTGAAATTGAGGCAGCATTAAAGGAGAAGAAATACAAGGCCCTGACTGTCACGCATGTCGACACCTCCACAGGAGTCCTTTCTCAGATTCAACCGCTATCCGACCTCATCCGACGTGTGTCTCCTGAGACGCTTCTAGTTGTTGACGGTGTCTGCTCCGTGGGAGGAGAAGAGATCCACTTTGATAACATGGCCATTGATGTGTGCTTGACAGCATCCCAAAAAGCCATCGGTTGCCCTCCTGGCATGTCGATAGTGATGGTCTCGGAGAAGGCCATGAACGTTTTCAAGTCCCGCAAATCCCCTCCAGGAAGCTACTATGCCAGCTTCAAGAACTGGACGCCCATCATGCAGAACTATGAGGCCAAGAAAGCCTCGTATTTTGCAACTCCACCTACCCAGTTAGTCCAAGCCCTCAACACATCCCTCAAACAGATTCTCTCACAACCCCTCGATGCCCGCTTCGCCCAACACCGCAAGGTGAGCGAGTATGTCAAATCGAAAATCACAAGCATGGGTCTCAAGCAGTTGGCCACCGACCCAGCCAATGCAGCCAACACCATGACGGCAATATATTTACCCGAAGGGCTGACTCCTCCGGAGATCCTCCCCAAACTGATGTCCCGGGGTGTTGTGTTTGCCGGTGGTCTTCATCGGGAGATTGCGGCGAGATACATTCGTTTTGGACACATGGGTGTCTCAGCCATGGATGAGTCGAGAGGAGAGATCGACAAGGCGCTCGAAGCGTTGAAGGACGGTTTGGCGGAAGTGGAGAACGCTAAGAGCAAATGAAAAGCGCTTAGCCCTCGACGACACCGAAGGGGGGGAATTTCGCATAAGCTTCGGAAAGCAGAAGCACAAAATCCGGGGAGATGTCGAGGAGGATGAGCTCAGCGGATCCTGAACTTGTTTGAACTTCGGGAGGGCTCGGATGCATGAAACAGTATTTTGACGGACATTTAACGGCAGTTATCTTGCTTACGGCTACTAGAGGAACACTCAGTGAGGTCCACTCCACAGAGATGTTCTGGGATTGTGTACCAAAAAGGGCGGCCGGTGAAGGTGTGATCGCAACCGACTCTATGTACATAGGCATTCCACATCACATCAGTGGAGCTGCGATGGCATAAATTCAAGACAAGACTTTGGAGGACTGCCCGCGGTGGCCAAGTTGGGAAGCAAGGATATCTCGAAGCATGCCCAATATACTGCGTCGCATTCCAGGAGCCGAGCCAGAGTAATCGTCTCTCCAATCGATAAAGAGTGTGAACTCGATCAGCGTCGCCTCTTTGCTACGCCGTCCCCGATGCCGTCCGCGTCACCATGAGTCGGCCTTGTCTTCAGCCCCGTCCTTGAACAACCGATCTCTCCTACCCTCGCTGGTTCTTGGTAACCTCGCGTCGTCTTCAAACGGCATTCTCTTTGGTTTCCTTTCGCGAGACGTAAAGGTCATATATTCGTCCCGTTCATGCATTGATCGACGCGTTCTGTATGATCCATGTGTCTCTCTATGTATCCTATGTATCCCCGTTTTTTATGTCTCCATGCATCATCCATGATGTCGGGCATGCCGTGTCAACCACCACCATCAACGTCAACAATACCAAGATCAGCATCCGTCATTATCGGTGACCAAAACCCGGCCGGCCGAATAAGGGTAAATAAGGCAAACACTTTTAATCAATGCCGTACAGGGAAGCAAGCCACTCCCGTCGCTAAATCGACGTATGCTCGTAAGTTCAAACGACATCCCTAGAAAGGGGAGAAAAACGCCAGGCTATGCAGAAACAAAGGCATACGTCGAATGACAGTGACCATGATATCACGGTCGTGATGACGACGGATGATTGATCAGTGGACGCTACCCAAAATCTATGCGGAATTGTTGAACCTGCTCCTCGATCGGATTTTCTTGCCGTATCTGTAGAAGAAGAACCTGTTGCGGCGGCGGTGTCAGTTCTCATATTTCTTCCAAAGAGAAATTCCACGGGAGGGAATGGGTATGGAACTTACGGCATGGGTACACAGGCCAGGGCAAGGAAGCCCAAGAGCGAAGAAGCCCATTGGTAGTCGAGGTTTTTGTACACTGCGAGTTTCACATGTTAGCGTCACGGAACGAGGAAGAGGTAGAGGACCGGGTAGTGAGGGAGGAAAGAGAAAAGGAGATGGAGGGGGGGCAACTTACTTTGTGTCCCGAACAAGGGGAAGGCTCCGGCAAAACATAGCCGGACGAGACAGTTGGCTGCAACTGCGCTGGCGGCATAGCTGGGGTACTGTTTTGGCGAGTCAGATGGTGAAAAGGATCGAAAGATGGACGAGGCCGAGGGAACATGACTTACGGCGTCGACAAGGAATGTCAAGATGCCAGTGAAGGCAAGGAATAAGCTGTTTTCTCCTTGTCAGCATTTTCGGTTTCTAATTTGCAGGCATCAAAAAGACAAGTTAAAAAGAAAAGGCCACCACGTACCCAATGCCGAAGACAGCACTGCCAATGATCGGCACAATCCAGTGAACACTCGAATACGTCGTCCACCCAAACCAGAACAGCCCAATGGGCACAAGGATCCCGCCAAACATGGCGGGCGGCAAGCGGAACTCTGGCTCGGGTTTGATGCCGACCTGTCCAGTCTGCTCCTCCAGCCTCTGCACCAACTTGACGTAGTTCTCGTGCCAGAATGGGTCCGTCAGGACGCCGATGAGGATGCCGAGTCCGAGCCCGATGAAGGTCAGTCCGACCTGGTACAGCGAGAAGCCGTGGTTGGTTCCGAAGACGAGCGGGAACGCGCCGAAGAACAGGTACACGATCCCCAAGAGGATGGCTGCATAGATGCAGAGCAGGAGGCACATGGGTTCGCAAAACAGAAGCTCAAAGGGTACGGAGCACGAGTGGATGAGCGTCCCCAGGACGGTGCGGTCGATTTTCTCAATTGGCGCGTACCATTGGTTGTCTCCTGTTTCCTTGCGCTTTTGCTCGGCGCGGCGTTTGAGGAGGACTTTATGGTAAGTCTCAGGGACGAAGAAAATGACCAGGACCAGTAAGACGCCGGTCCAGATCAGGAGCGTGTAGAAGGTCCATCGCCTACGGACAAATGTCAGCGTCAGCACCTCCACCAACACGGTCACAATTAGAGTGGGGGTTTGAAAAACTTCATAACATACCACAAAGTAAACTGGTTGATCAGTCCGCCAACTATTGGGCCAGCCGCGGGACCCAGAAACGGCGAGGCAGTAAAGATCATCATGGGGAACTCGATGTCCTTGCGTTCGAACAAATCTGCCACTGTGCCCGCCGCCACGGCCAGGAACGCACTCCCCGCGAAGCCGTCGAAGAATCTGCACACGATCATGGTTTGGATGTTTTGGGCGACCGCGCAGGGGATCAGCCAGATCAGGAAGAAGAACATGGACGTGATGTAGATGGGTCTTCGACCATAGAACTCGGACAGCGGACCCAGAAGCATTGGCCCAAAGGCTAATCCCAATACAAACAGTGAAAGACCCAGTGTGGCGACTTCTCTGGAGCAGTGGAAGTCTTCCATGAGCTGTTCATACGTGGTGGTATACACGGACGAAGTAAATGTTCTAACCAACTGGTCAGCGCCCCGAAGAAAAGATCTTTTGAATATATACGTCAGGCGCCACTTACACGCAGAATGAAGCAACAGAAGTGATGAGAACAATGATCCACTTCCGTGCGACATTGAAGTTGCGAGGACACTCCTTGTCGGTTGGTCCATCCCAGCGGACTTCAAATGGACTAGTCTTTGTGCGCGCCACAGCAGCCTCTTCACTTTCATCCTCGTCGACTATATATGCGGAGTAGCCATCGGTAGCCACAGAGCGTGTTCTGCCAATGGTTTGCGACCGTGTGGCTGCGGTAGTCGTGCCTGAGGTAGGGATCTGGCGAATGGTGTCTGCTTTTTCAAGGTCCATATCCGACTCGACTGGCGAGCCAAGGGTGTCGACACTGGTGGTAGACGATGCGGGACCTTGCAGTCGCTCGATATCGGCCATATTTGGGGTATTTTCTTCCTGTAACGCTGTAGGATAGAAGTGAGAGACTTCTATGATATATCCCCAATATCCAGAGGACGTTCTGGTCGAGGCCGATGGTGCCCATTTCAAAAACCTACCGTGCCATCCGTTGCTGTCATATATACATCATTGTAGCTAAAGAGCCGACGAGAATGATTCGTACGCATTATTGCCCGACTGCACATCTTTGGGTGCCAAACTGGGAAGTCGCGCGTGCGCGATTTGAAGGATTGTGGGGCATTTACACCCGATATTGACATCTAGTACGACATGATAGTTAGTAAGCACGCAATATGCCACAATGATAGGCGGATGAGAGTGTGCAGAGACTAGGAGCTGAGGGACTAACTGGCGGCGGTCCCAGTCCATGTCCTCGGCGATTGACTATTTTGCGGATGAGGAAGTTGGCGCGCAAGATCCGTGCCAACCTTCGTCTTCTTCAGCCCCTGGTTGTTCGCAGCCTTGAGCTCTTGTCGCAGGTAGATACACCGAAGTGGCAGACTAGCGACGACTACATGTAGCAGAGTCCGAATTGTTGACAGGGACTTCGCAGCAAGCCATGGGACGTCCATCCAAGCGCCTGCCCGTACGTGCAAACTCATCAGGTTCCTCAAGACCGACTTCGCTGAATGCAATCTGTACAAGGCGATTATTATAGCCAGCATCTTCAAAAGCCATCCGGTCACCACATCCAGTCACGGCCTGTTGTCCTCACAATCGGCGAAGGATCCATAGCGGAGATAATCTGGGCGAGATGCTTGCTACTGACTGTATTGCTGAGCAGAGCACTGTATCGTTTTGCCATGATGCTCTTGAGCGGAACTTGATTGAAACAGACGTCATCCATTGCGAATCCGCTTGTTAGCCTTGTACGATGTACGACCGGTGTTGGTGGGCGTTATTGTGAAGCCTGTGACAGGGAAGTAGTCGGTGCGGACGCGGATTCCTAAACACCTCAGCATTTGTTTCCTGGGCCAGTCGTGGTGGGATTCTACTAGAAACTCTCTCGCAAAGATTCCAGATCTGGCCTTGCACATAACTGTACGGAGTATTCGTACTGGGCACTCTGTACAGCGCCATCAGTACCTGGAGGGTGCGTGCTTATCCAGTAGCCCCTAGCCTCGTCGCAATGGGCGATGTCTGCCCTATTGCCCTATTGCCCTAGTGTCTCCCTGAAAACCCCAGGGACAATGACACCCCCGATGGCGGGCCGGAAGTCCGACATCTCCCCAATAACAAATATCAGCATCGCTAAGACCGACGCCTCGCCAGCCTGCAAGACGCTGTCTGATATCTCCCGGTTGCTCTCAAATATTAAAAACAACGGCAGCAGATGAACGAAAACGTTCGAGCACCAAGCCCAACAGGCCATCAAGGCCGGTTGAGAGTGCGGAAAGCTGACCGGAGACTTCGGTCATGCGAGAGCCCTTTATTTCAGCAATGCCTGTCGGACTATCTCCCCCAGGCCGGCCAATCGATCTCGTGGCTCATTCGAGAAAACAATCCGTATATATTGAGCCTCGCCGTCAGCACCCCAACCGACCATCGGAGTCACGCAGGCTCCTTGTTCCAGAAGCGCTTCAGCAGCGGCATCGGCGCGCCAACCCAGCTCGTCGACCCGCAACAACAGCGACCATCCCCCGTCTGGTTTGCCAACGGGCAGTCCACGGAGTTCTCTCATGCACAAATCCCTTCGCAGCTGCAGTTCATGGACGTAGTCGACAATAGCTGTCTTAGATATCTGAAGAGCCTCCTTT